TTTTCTCGCAAAAATTAACTGGCAAAAAGCGATACTAACATATATATATATATATCATATTATATATATATATTACATATAATATATATACCTTTGAAAGTTTAATATTTTTTATTAAAAATTATTTTTGAAGGTTACTCAGTCAGGATTGGCTACAAAAACTAGAAATTAGGCAACTTTGTAAAATTTACTAGAAAATTAAAATTCTTGCCTTGAAGTTTAATATGTATATTTTACATTTATACAATTAGAATACTATCAATTTAACAATTAAATCCAAACAATACCAGCAATATTAATATATAACAACTTACATTGCTATGTTAAAATTACTTTCTCAACAAAGTATTTGATAGTTTCAAAATCAGATCGAAAATACACAAAATTTAAAAATATTAAAAACATTGAGGAAAATCTAAAAATATTATATTTATAGAAATCAGAGAAAAGTATAACTTTCGGATGAGAAATATGTGATAACCTTGACAAAATTATCACAAATTCCTTATCTTAGAATTTCATAAAAGTTATTGTTATTATATAAATTATTATTATATTCTCTGATTTCTACTTATCTTGTCTCGTTTTAAAACTGTATCTTATTCAGCTTTCTTCTTTGTAATTAATTTTAGCTTTTTCGTATTAAAGTTAAGTCTTCAGGAAATTTCTGTGTTACTTTAATTGTCGTACGCCAAATTGTTGATTATTCCATGCGTGTTTACTCTTTTCTCTTACGCCCTTTAATGGAGCGTCACTTTCTCTCAATTAGGATTCATATTAACCCTTTAACAAAGGTCGACTCTCGCATGAATTGCGAACGTTTGCCGAGTGTGATACACTCGTTGAGATTACATCGTTTGCGTTTTCCGTCATGCTCAATTCAATTTTTCCTAACACTAAAATACTTGTCGCGAATTACGCCAAACACAAAAAACACATGCATATGTCAGTGCTATTCTGGGCTACTAGAAAAAAAAAGTGTAAAAAAATATGTTCTTCATGATTGCAGAAATAACTCCAAGAAGTATTTTTTAATTGGTATTATAAGAAAAAAAAATAATAAAACGATATTTTTGCTTAAGTAATGAGTATTTATTAATAAATTCTAGTTTGTTCAAAAAATAAACTTTCTGGAAGTTACATGAATAAGTATCATTTTTTCAGTTTGCAGTATTGATTCATAAAAGCCGTGATTAGCGATATAACATTAACGTATGCATAACGTTGTTAATACGTGATAGGAAATGGCAATTTTATCGGTTTCCAAGACATGAACGGGAATAAAGTTAGAATAATTCACATAGCTCAAATTCCGCGATAATGAGTAATTTATGAAGTACGGCTAATACTTGTAATCATTCAAGGGAGTGTGTTTTGCAATTAACGTGTGCGACGAATTTACCGCTAATTAAATCGTAATTCGCTGTTGTGCCCATGAAGCACGACGCGTCGTGATATTTTTCATAGATGCGGATTTAACGCCGCAATAAAAGTCCTGCGAAGCATAGAAATGTTGATAAGTCAACTTTCTCCTAGTTGTCAAAATTAAAATAACATCAGCATGTGGTATTAGAAATTAATTATCAGTGTTGATTCAAGTCAAGAATATATAAGCTTTATAGTATTACTTACAATTAGACTACAACTGAAAAATTTAGTACCCTTATTATTTTAATTAATGAATCGAGGAAAAATGTATGTCGTCTTCCTCTTGGCAATAAAATAAATATAAAAATGTAATAACTTAAAAATATCAAAACTTTATTTAAAAATATATAAAAACTGTGGAGAAAAATTCAATGGAAATAGCATTCTTCGAGATTCTCTCTGCTTCTTTTGTCAAACCGTGCTGCAGGATTGCAATGTCTCGTTTTATTATCGCGTCAGTGTATTACTATCAGAGAGAACGGTTATAATGCCTGTAAAAGCGTCGCGTAAAACTCGTCTCGAAGTAGGCGACGGACGCGTCGTTTCAAGGACTCCGTGGAACTGGACTACATCCTGCGGGGATGCTTGATCATCGTGTTTGATCTCCACGAACAGGTTGAGTTGAAAACTCCTCACGAACTGTGGACTGTTATGTAACGTAGCAGGATCTCTAACGATCGACACATTCTCGTTTCCCTCGTGTCATTCCGACCTGTTCGCCACCGCGTCTCTCTCTCTCTCTCTCTCTCTCTCTCTTCCTCTTTCGTTCTCGCTTTTTCTCTCACTCACTCACTCATGCTATATTTCCGTTATCGCACGAATGCTGTAAAAGGCCACGTTAGGCCACGCATGCAAACCTGGATTGCATCGAATGAGAAGAATAGGCAAAGAACAAGACTCTAGGAAGTCAAAACTGATGATCAGTCCGTTATTTCAAATTCAAATTGCGCTGCTATTTCAATCGCAATCTTTAGAAAGTTAATATTTATGATATTAACATCTCATGAAAAATATTACGTTGGAGGGAAAGCTGTGCGATTTTTGTTGTTAGCTCAAAACTATATGTATATTTTTATCAAAAATGAACAAAATTTAATTAAAGAAAAAAAGATTTCAAAACTTAAATCTCTATTTTTAAAAGGTTTTTATAATTTTTTAGTTCGTCTAAATTTGCAAATTTTTATATATATATCGTAAACTATATATACAAACTGAAAAAGGAAAATTTTTCTTCTTACTTTAGAAGTCTGTCATTTATCAAAAAAAAATTTGCAAAAATTTTGAACTAACATAAAAACTTAGTTTTTTCTAAAAATCTGCTTTTAACAAATATTCCTACGATTTTTTATTCCTGAGTTATTCGCGAATTAAGTAAAGGAACATTTTTATTTTAATAACTCATAACTTATATATATATATATAAATTAAAAATTATCGTACCGCAATTAAAAAATCAGATTCTTAAAGTTGAAATTTTGCTCTATCGAATGGTATAAATCGCTAATTTTTTTTATTTAACGATGGACTTCTTCAATATTTAACACATAATATCTCCTTTAATCAAATTTTAAGAACATGAATGTAAGTAAAAATAACTTCTTTTTAGTTTTAATTGAACTTACCTCAACAGAGAAATACGATTGGAATTTTAGATAAAAGCGAATAATTTAATTTCAAAATTAAAACTTTATAATATTGATAATTAGTTAAGCAAACAAATGATATTATGATGCAAAAAAGTTGATGGGACATTATCATCGAATAATCGTTCGATATCATGAACTATCGATGATCACATGAGATTTAACTGGCAGCTCAGTTATTTTTGACTTGGTTATTCACCAGAAACAATTGTTATTTTCAAGACTGATGACCATAATAACTATCAATTTGCCCGAATATGCGATGATTTATATTTATTTTTATAGATATGTTCGCGGATAAAACAATTTTAACAGCAAATTTAAACGAAGAAATTGAATTATGATTTAGTTACAATGACATGACTAATAATCGAGCGTTACAAATTTCATTACTACAAAATTGACCAAAATTATTTTTTAGACTGTAAGTGGAACTTTTTCTCCAATTTGTTAGTTTTTTGTATTTTTACGTATAAAGAATAATAATAATATGAATTATTGTTTATGTCGTTATATTATATATAGAATTAGTACTTAGATATAAGGCGACACTTTCTTCGTCTGCCTCAAGTTAAATTCTTTCTCGTGTCCACGACAGTCCTTAAAATTAGTGTTATTATAAGATACGGCACAGATGGCATCTGGTTTACCATAATCTAACATACCTCGAATGCTGACACGATAATTTCAAGGATGTGCTCGTGGCCGAGATACGCAGAATGGTTTTTAATACCGCAATACTTTAACATCACCATATTTTTATTCTTTAAACGCATGCCAACCGCAATACTAACAACTGGAAGCGTGGACTTTCATTCTTGTCTAGGGTAAGTTGCAAACAATTTGATTAGCGTGTGCCCAAGTTATGCTGCATGCCCAGAAGTGATGTGCGTTTGACGACACAAGATGTCTTTCCTGAAATATTTAATATTGAGTTTGAGAATTGAGAGTTCATAATCTGTTCTTATTTCAAGATCATCTTAAGTTCAGTTATGTATTGAGATGTCACGAGCCAACCAGAGGGCTGTATTATAGCGTCTTAAGGTATTACTTAATATGGTCTTGAAATAAGACTATAAACACTGCATGGCTAAGACGCTAATACGGCCTTTCGATTGGTGATGAAGTCGTGTAAGAGAATAAGAATTTTTTACACGACTGTATATAATATAAATAAAGAAATGTTTACATTAAGAGCAACGGTTATGAAGAACGACAATGAATATTGTCCCGTGACTGTACAACTCTTTTACAAATTGTGTAGCCTTGTTACGCGATCGGCAGACGCATTGTACTTGTGATGTCGTCAAACGAGACGTCGCTTCAACTAGTTGTCGTACCTTTTGACTGAAAAAATAGCGATAACAAATCATATGTTATTTGATAAATAAGAAGGCGATCCATGTTGTTACATCATGATTATGATCGTGACTGGTGGGTTTTTTAAATGCCGTCCTTGAAACGTATCTAATGCACGGATGCAACTCGACGATCCGTTCGTTCGCGAAAAACTGTACCTTCCACTTCCGTGAAAAGTATATACCGAGTTTTCTATAAATCTAATTCTTCGTTATTTTTATTTGATGGATATGTTAGTAACGTTTTTTTTTTATTCTATGATAAGTCGCGCTTGTTACGTGTGTCAAAACCATTTATTTGTTATGACTTTCGGGTTACACTTACTGATAAAGAAAGTCATTTAAAATTTCAGTTTGTTATATTACGTTGAGTTAAATGATTGTTGCAATACAGTTTTATGATATTTCAGCTATTATATCAGGTTATCAGTATTATTATAATCTCATTTTATTTATTTGTGACATTAAACATAAAAACCGATATTTTTGATCGAATATATGTATTGCATTAATAATATACCGCAGCTATAATACGGGCTATATGTAATAATAGTAAATAATTGCAGGTGGTTCCATGTGGTCTTCAAAAAATCTGCAATGTAAGAGCACAAAGAATTTTCTGATCTTTATATATTATTTCAATGTGTTCTTAGCATCCGATTTAAATTTCCGAATTGACTAGAAATAACACATAATCTTTTACTTTCGTGCTGTATGTTTGATAGTCGAATTAATCACTGAGAAAAATGTCTGGTTGAAAATGGATGAATATAAATTTTCTGGTTAAATCTACTAAATTTTAGTTGAGGTATCTGGAATTCTGATTGATAATCAGTCTTTTTCTTCCATTTTAAATCAGCCATTTTTTTTTCAATGCATTAGACGATAAATTCCTAGTTCTCTTTAATATTCACTCTAAAAAGAGAGGACATATTTTATTTTATTCACATATCTACATTATTCAAAGAGATAAGTCTCATTTTGCTTTCATTATTCTCACGAAATAAGATGATATATCTAAGCCTTTTTTAGTTTTTTATTCATTTGCAATATGTTATATGACACGAGATATACGGCAGAAATTACTACGAATTGACGAAATTTATTTTAAAATTTAAGTGAATAGAAGAACTTTTTTCACTTGTGTGACATATAAGGTCAAATTTGACAAGATATCGCTTAATTTTGATCGAAAATTTTTATAATTATTCTGTAGGAAAATTTGCTTTCTCTTTTACCAAGTTTTACATTACAAGTAGAGAAATAGGTATTTTTATATTTTTCTCTCTTAGCTCACATCGTAGGATGACATGATTGACACGATTAAATTGTGTGAATTATTTTATAATATTATCTTTATTATGTATCTATTACACTTTTTTTATTCCTTATTATCTTATGTCGTGTAAATCCTGACACAAGATAATATAATAATCTCAACATGTGTTTTTTGAAGCAATATTACTAGTCGTAATATACTCGCGAGTTATGTTTTTGCTTCTCATGTTTTATGAAATGTGAATTATAACCGTTTATCATATGTTTGGCAGTTGCTATAAAAAAAAGGAAAGATGACAAAGTAAAATCAAAAGAATCTCGCGGCACTGAAGCCTTTCTGTTTAATTTGATTTTTAAAGTAGTACAGACCGCGTACGTTACATAATTCTGCATCGTAAATGCTGTTCGCGAATGTCAGAGATATCACGGAAAAACGCGTTAATTGTCGTCACGATAGCTGCTAGAAACGCTGTGGGTTTCTTATTTGCTGCTTCGCGCTATATTTTTTTTATTCCTCGTTAATAACATAGATAACTACTAGGTAAAATGTGACAGTAGAAACACACACTCCAAGAGTCGATTGTTGTGACGTAAGTCCTTTCGGCGATTTGGATAAGATTTCGCCGGAATGGATAATGTATGACTAAGTAAGGTTTATGCATTCCTTTCAGACAAAGTCAATCTGTTAGAAAATATACTTTCGCACTTAGCAATTCAATAACTTTCGCGATACTTATATCATTTCGAGAGAGCACATTTATAAAACGTAATAAAATGTAACTCTTTTTTAATGTAGTAAATTACAACTCTTTCTTTATTCCTTCGATTGTGTTTCGTGATAAATCTACGAAAACGTCATCTATTCTGAGAAAAAAAAATATATATAATAAAATTGTGTCAACTTTATAAAGGAAATTTCGTTGATAAAGTTTTATAATATATGGTATATAAATGGGAATTATTACTTCGTTTCTAATATAATAGAATATATTTTACTTTATCTTATCTTTTCTATTTTTATAATATGACTATATTATATTGTAGTATTATATTGATTTATTAAATTGATGTAAAAATTGTATGAAAATTGAGAGAAATCATTTTTTTACTTTTTTTGTGCACACAACTGCCAAACATATGTTAACATTCATCAAGGTAAATTCCACCATAATTACACATTTTTCATGAATGATGACGATGATTTTTAAATTGTCTGTACTTAAGAGATGCGGCGGCAGATATTCAACTTTGATCGTATCTACAACACTGATATCGCAAGCATTACGTAATTATGATAAACTCTTTGATAACAACGTTGACAATATAGTGCGAATATATCTGACGCTACAAGGTATCGTAATAAGGAAAAGAATTAATTAGTATGAAGAACGACATCTTTTTACGAAGAAAAAGAGACAAAACTTTTATAGAATTTGCTAGTAGATTTCCTGCTGTATTTATTTTTATCGTGATATAAAATGTATTAAATTACATTAGAATTTATTGAAGTAATGGACGTAATGTGTATGAAATAATTAAATTATATTTCTATTTTTATTAATTTTTTAAAATATATTGTAATATATTAAGTAATAATATTCTAAGATTTGTGTATAATTAACGGATTAATTTCCTTAATGCGAAACCATATCTCTTTTAGTGAAAAATATTTTTCCACTATTTCGTGGAACTCACGATCTCACATTCACCCATAATTCTCTTGATGTCACAAGAACTATTTGTTCACATGTTCAACTATTATCGTAAACGCGATTCACAAACACTTTGCACGCTTTTTATCTTTGAGCGTCAAGTGTGAGAAGCAAGACAATTTTGGCCGCATCATTAATTTTTTTCAACGTTTGCAGGTGATGAACCAAGAAGTCAAGAAAGAGACTCCACTGCAGTTCAAATTCCGTGCAAAATTCTATCCTGAAGACGTCGCCGAGGAATTGATACAAGATATTACGCTGCGACTTTTTTACCTTCAGGTAAAAAATTATTCACGCAGTCCTTTCGTCTCTCTCCCCTCCCCTCCCCTCCTCTGCCTCTCTCTCTCTCTCTCTCTCTCTCTCTCTCTCTCTCTCTCTCTCTCCTCTTACGATGTTACGATCAGTAACAATTTTTAATTGGTTACTTCCACTCTAAAAATAATTTCACGATTGATGTCCAGAACAAATGGATCTAACAAAAATGCATATCTCATTTATTTGTTGATTGAATTAAGTCATGCATCGAACTGTCGTTTGTTTATCTGATTCGCTTCTTCCCTTCGTCTACTATCTCATCCTCCGTGATGGGTACGCGAACACAAGGAATGCGTTTAATTTTTTGCTCAGTTGAACCAGACAAATGCATTAGTGTTTAAAAATAACAATAATTTGTGAAATTAGTGAAATTTTATAATTCTCGAATAAGTATAAAATAAAATCTATATTTTTTTATATTAGCTTATCAATATTTTATTAATTACTTATATTTATATAATAGATTACGATTTTTATTGAATTATTATTGTGTTTTGTTACAGTGTTAATTAATATTGCTTCACCACAAATGTTAAATTACGATTAATTAAAACATTTTAAGTAATGCTTAATGTTTGAATTGATTGCAGGTGAAAAACGCTATTCTTACGGATGAAATATATTGTCCACCAGAAACTTCCGTTCTGTTGGCTTCGTATGCCGTTCAAGCGAGACATGGAGATTATCAGAAGGGAAATCACCCTACTGGCTTTCTGGCAAATGATCGGCTGTTACCACAGCGTGTTGTGGATCAACATAAAATGAGTAAGGAGGAATGGGATAACTCTATTACAAACTGGTGGCAGGAACACCGTGGTATGTTGCGAGAGGACGCCATGATGGAGTATCTAAAAATTGCTCAGGTATCTGTTAAATAATATGAACAGGATGTAAAAATGTAAAATATATTATTATATAATATATATAGCGAAGATTTCAGAAGGGATTGGATATTCTGATATATATCATCGATATTTATACGGATTACAAAATTATTTTTTCTCATTATTTACATTCTACATTAGAAATTCCTATTTGTCTTTAAGAAATGTTATTCAAGTAAAGTATTCAACTTGTGCTACAATCCGTTTCTGAAGGCTTGCGCATTTGCGAAACAACGAGGTTTGATTATACTTTTTAATTATTCGCATAATATTTGTATTTTTAACTCGATGTTTATTTATGACATGGTATTTTTTAACCAGTCGTACGAAGAATATTATGCGAATTTCATTGCTGCATTCGGAAACATTTTACCATATGAAAAATTGTACACTATTCTTGGACTATATATTCATATATAATATCATTGGTATTGTTTTAGTATTTTCTTTCATTTTTGCGTTCCATAGGACTTAGAGATGTATGGTGTGAATTACTTTGAAATTCGCAACAAGAAAGGCACAGATCTTTGGTTGGGTGTGGATGCTTTAGGTTTGAACATCTACGAGAAGGACGATAAGCTCACGCCGAAAATCGGCTTCCCCTGGTCCGAGATACGGAATATCTCGTTCAACGATAAGAAATTCATAATCAAGCCAATCGACAAGAAGGCACCGGACTTTGTATTTTTCGCCAACAGAGTCAAGATTAACAAGAGAATTCTTGCGTTATGCATGGGTAATCACGAGCTTTACATGCGCAGACGTAAGCCAGACACGATCGATGTGCAACAGATGAAGGTAGGAACATTACATTGTATCACATTGAAGATTATATCACGTGAAATTAATAAAACAATTGTTAATGCATTTACTTATCTAAAGTCGATTATATAACGCTATTAGCAATACATATTTGATATCACCTTACGTAACCATTATAGCAAATTGAAAATTTATTCAGGAATTAAAATAACATAATTTAACAACTAAAGCAAAAACTATTACAATCGTAAAATTGTTAGGATCCACTTTGTTTAATTGTATAATATAAATAACCATATAAAATATATTTTACTTTTAAAATCGTTGACGAGATTGCAATAAAATTTTTTCAGGCTCAAGCAAGAGACGAAAAGATGGCGAAACAACAACAGAGAGAGAAATTGCAATTGGAGATAGCTGCTCGAGAGCGTGCGGAGAAGAAACAGCAGGAATACGAAGAGAGGCTAAGAAATATGGCAGAAGAAATGGATAGGCGGAATGCTGAGTTGAATGAAGCTCAGGAAATGATTCGGCGCTTGGAGGAGCAGCTGAAGCAATTGCAGGCTGCTAAGGAAGAACTAGAGAATCGTCAGAAGGTGAGTGAGTCTATTTAATTATGAGTTAAAAAAGCTACCGCTATATTATCAATGAACGGTTAAGTTTCTGTTTTTATTCTTTCTATCTTTCATTTTTCTTGTTTGACGCTTGAGCGAATAATAAATATCATGTTCAAACTTGATGTTTGCTGTAAGATGTGTAAGTTTATCAGAAATATTGATTTGATCCTTCTATCATAATATAATTATTCTGCGCTGTGGATTTGTAAGCATATAATAGTTGTGATGATTGTACAGAATTTGTGACTCTCCTATATATTAAGACAATTGCGGCTGCCTGTGTGATCAAATTGAAAATAAAAAATGACACTAAGTTAATTCGATGTTTTCTACGATTCTATAAATGAAAAATTTGAGGACTATTGAGGGATTTTATAATGTATTACAAATTTAACTTCAGATTTATCGGTAGCACACAAAAATTGTGACCGTTATAATATTAGTATTATAGAAAATTATTATGTAAATTTTTAATTTAAGCAGTACACGTACTGATGATGACCTAATATAAGGTCGAAACATTCATGTTAAATTTATTATGTTTATCATATTTTAAATTTATAATATTAAGCGACAATTTTTTATATAAAAATCGTCGCATTAAGAACCAATGTAGGTTTTAATACTACTTTCTTTAATTATTTTTATAAATATTTTATTTTATAAACCGTTATTTTAACTTTTTTTTGTAACTTGTATTGTGTAATATAGGAATTGACAGCGATGATGGAGAAGTTGGAACTCTCGCACGAAATGGAGGCTGCAGAACGCGCTAAACTCGAACAGGAAATAAGAGCCAAGCAAGAGGAAGTGCAACGCATACAATCTGAGGTGGAAGCTAAAGACGCAGAAGCTAGGAGATTACAGGCTGAGTTTGAAGCTGCCAAGTACGAGCAGTTTTCTTCTTTTTCTCATCCTTTGTTTCTTATTTAACCTAATTGGAGATAATTGCATATTTATCATTTATTGTGCAAGATTGAGACAAGAAGAAGCTGACCGACAATATCAGGCCAATCAGACTCCGCATCATCATCACGTCGAGGAGAACGAAGAGGGCGAAGAGGAGGGTGAGGACGAAGTTCCTCAAGGAGACGTTACTAAGGATCTTGCGACTGACGAGTCAATAATCGATCCTGTTGGAGAGCGACGTACTTTAGCAGAGAGAAGCGAACGTCTTTATGATCAGTTGAAGGTACGTTGATATTCAACGTTAACATATTTTATTTAGATTTTATTTGTTATTTTAAATGATTTCATTCTTTATGTGGAAATCGTTCTTGATGCAAATTTTGTAAAAAACAAAAATCTATTGTATATAATTCACTACTACAATAAATGCTTTTCATTGACAGGCATTAAAGAAAGATCTCGCTCAGTCGCGCGACGAGTCCAAGGAGACGGTGATGGACAAGATTCACAGGGAAAACGTGCGTCAGGGCCGCGACAAATATAAGACGCTTCGCGAAATCCGCAAAGGCAACACCAAACGCCGCGTTGATCAATTCGAGAACATGTAAATTAATGTGCGTGCATCTAATCACTTACTTTATACATGTCCTTTTCTACCTTCAATTTCTCACCTGACTTTGCGAAAGCGAGGAATGCAGTAAAACGATAATGAGGAAAGAAAAAAGAAAGTAATTAATAAGGTAGGGAGAGAAATAGAGAGAGGTATAGATTCTACAATAAATGTATAAATAGAATAATTTGAACAATAGCAGATACACATTTTCAATCAATTACACTTCAACTTTTCTCAAAATTGCGCGAATGACTGACAACCGTGACTATCGTATATCGAGAATTATAACCAATATTTACACCTTACGTTAGCTTGATGACAATTATTATATTATATACCCTCACGTAAAGTGATAATCAAAGATGTTACATTTTTGGTAAGGAACGCGACGACAGTGAGCGATTCGCGCGCCGTCTTCCATATATACTTCCACGTTAATTAACACTGCATGATTGGCTCTACCGCGGAATCGTCACAGAAGCGCGAGTAAATGTTCTCGTTACTTCGCGTAAAAGTGCCTTGCTTGTAAAGCTAGTAATTCTTGTAACTACCTTAATAGCAAAAATGAATATTATTATTACTCTAATAATTTAGCGTGATATTCTTGGTTCGATAAAGGCACTTTGCGCCCAAGTGACAAGAAAATTTCCGGTAGTGAATTTCGTTACCGTTACTTAAACCTTTCTCGGCGCATTGATGGATCAACATCTCGACTATCAAAGTGCCAGTATCATCTCGCCTCACAATAAGTATTACTGCCGGTCATTTATACCGATACTTAACTGCTGGTTATCTACCGGTGTCCCGCCCGTCGCGGTTTTTATCGCGCCGTCGTGCGATATCATCCGTCCTCGATAATAAGGATTTATTTTCGAGAAGCCATCAACGTTTATCATCACTACTTGCATCTCGGTTCATGCATCGTGATGGTAATTACAATTGTTACTCGATTACGAACAGTTATCTTGTGCGCTTAGTTCGGGCCATATTTAGACAAAAGAATGTACATTACTTGAAGACATTTATTAGTTAACCAGCGATTTGTAACTGAATATCAAGGGATCGAGATAAGGCATATGGCGCTTATATTGTAGCAAGATAGTAGAAATTTAGACATCCACCTTAAAATTCGTATTGGGCAGCGACCGTTCCGAGCAAGGAGACATTTCATGACATTCAATTCTATTTTTTGCTTTTAAAAATTAATTTAGGATTTTCTCTTGAACAATATTATTTATCGAATAAGTAATTAATTTTATGTATATACGTACGTATATATATTGCATTTCTAAAATTTTAATATTTCCTCTTTTGAGATGAGTATCTTATTCATCGTGCTTTAAATCGCATGTCACGATTGTCCCCCTTTTGCCTTACACACAAATCACTATTACGGCGCAATCCGTCATTTCGGATTAATAAACGTAAGCGATTCAACGATGGCATGGCCTATTCACTATCGATAAAACCGTACCGAACTATTTTCGTACGAACGAATTTTGATAACACGTTAGCGATTTTATATTGAACACACTCGTGGCCTTTACTTGATATACATAAAAAAAAAATATATATATATATATATATCTCGAAGTACTATAGGTAGTACTAATAATAACGACTAGCCGAAAGAAAGAATTATATAAATATCGCGCCATAGAAAATTTGTTCCGCATACCTTCAATACAAGATCGAACCGCGCGGTATCCGCCGAATGGCTTTAGCTACCGAGATTTTCGAAAGAATCAGGGAACGAGTGTGAGAGAGGGAGAGAATGTGATAAGGAAGATAGTTAACCGTGTGTGTGCGAGCGAGAGAGAGAGAGAGAGAGAGAGAGATGCCGAATGATAGGAAAAACATATATATGGCAGTCATATGCCATTGTAATTTTTAAAAAATCTCACCCCTCTTAAAAGAATGTTTGGTGCGCAACAGGATTAATAAAACTAACGAAAACTCCAATCTCGAGACGCTGCCAATTTTTCACACGACGGAATGCAAAATGAACAGCGATAGCAAGTGTAATATTGACAAAACGTGTAAGTTTCACGTAGGAGGAAAAATCGCGAAGTGATGTAAACAATCGCACTATATCACGGAACAGTTTGTACTTTGCTACATAATTATCATCAGCCCGCGCGTTACAACAGTATGCGAAGCAGAAAGAAGAAAGAAGTACAGAAGTAATAACGCGATAGATATTTTTTGATTATATTTAATATTAAAAATTTATATACAAATTAGTAGCGTTATATTATTAATATTAATGTTTACAATCTAGTAGCGTTATTATTATTATTATTATTATTATTATTTTATTATTATGCAGATAATATTGAACGAGAACTAAAGGAAAGCATTTTATAGTCGTCAATTTATATTAAGATAATCTAGCACATTTTGGTCGTAATTTACGGTGGAAGGACATTTAAACATTTAATCTTTTTATTCAAATTATTTTTAATTATCTTCTAAATTCAACAAAATAAACAAATTTGTTTACAAGCGAATATAATTTAGGAAAAGTTCCAATTTTTTTAAGTTTTTCATTTTTGAGTGTAATAGACTTGCGACCAGATATGTGTAAACAAGATGAAAAAAAAACAAGATTATTAATTAAAGAAATCGTACGATACATTTCGATAATCGATGAAATAGGTGAGGACAAGCATGAAAGTTTGTCTCGATACTCTTTGGCGAAACCGATGAATTTTTATTGAAACATTCCAGAAGAATTCTCCGTAAAGTGCTCTTCCCGCCCTCGACTTTGTTTTGTCGATTAATAGCATTAGATTGATTTGGAGATGGCGCCTTGACCTTCTTCCTTCGTAAAATTTCGCGTTTTTATGTTTCCTGGAGCGTGCTTAACTCTAGGCTACTACTTAATTTCTACTACATTTGCAGAATATACAATGTAAATTCAAATATAAATGAAAAACGAAACTTTCCTTGTTTCGTGACATTTATTACTTCAACTATCTTAAATATAAATTAAATATATACTAAACTATGAGTTTGTCTAATTGGAGTGAAATGATATTTAGATCTTTTAGGTCCAGTTTTACAACTCATGGTTAACTCTTAACCGAGATTTAACTTATTCTTTATCAAAAGATTCTTAATACCTCAAACTTATTCTTTATCTCTCTAATTTCAAAATGGGAGATGAGGAACAAATTGAACTTCGGTTAAGAGTTAACCGTGTGTTGTGAATGAAACTGGGCCTTAGAATCGAAAGATCTAAGATCTCTTGGCAATCGGTTAAAGAAATTGCAACGAAAACATCGTATATTGCGTTTACTTTTCCTCAAAGTGCCTCCTAGAGTTAAGTAACGTTACTTCTTCAGCCGCAGACACGAAAGTAGGTGTTAAAGTAGCAAAACGTGTACCAGGCATCCCTCATGAAGGTATCACATGCACATACATACACATGGTGCTATAGCATTTTCTCCTTCCTGAAACATCGAAATGTATATATTTGGCGTTAGGCATGCGTTTCATTCCTTCTTTTGTCTTCCTCCTTTCCAAGCTGAGACGCAAAGCTCGGCAGCATTGTAATGATAGAATTCGAACGCGCGTCCTTTTTTCCGTTTTTGCAACCGTAAGAGGATCCTCGTAGCAATATTATCAAACTGAAGACACATACACATGATCCAGAGACGCATAGTCGACATTGTATTTTAATAAAAACAAATATTTGTTGGTGCGAGGATATAATGAAAACTACTTGTACTTTTCTGAGAAAGCTAGAGATTGTTTAAATAAAAAAAATTCATATAAAAAAGAGCTGCTGATCCTGCTAGCAGTTGAAATCGTTCATTGATTATTCCATATCCTACAAAAGAAATATTAAGTAATCTAGATTTCTAAACATTTTTTTAATTGGAGAACAAGATGGTGGAAAGATACCAAGAAATCTAGTCAATATCAAAATATTGTAAATTATTTTCGGCGTTTATATGGTAAATAGTACATACCATACCGAGTAAAAAAGCCTTATAGTGGACATAGCTCGAAAGTTTAACCGTTTTTGAGAATAAATATTATAATTGTGTGTATATTTATATATCCAGTTCTATCAATGATTGACTTTAACATCTCGATTTAATTTATTCTTTATCCTTTTCTAATTCTTACAACCAGAAAGGACCATCGCATATATTACATAAGCAAATTTTTTAATCTCCTTTCTACGTCTATTTTTACATATATACATAAGTTAAACAATAATAAGACTCAAATTTCAATCAATTCTATTATAAATGGTAATTTTTACGAAAATAAAATTCAAATGAATGGCGCGAATAGAAAAAAAATGTCAGACCAATCACAAACGAGGCTACAAGATGTTCAGATTAGAGGGTTTCTAGCTGTTTCTAGCCAGTATCCAGTATTCCAGTGTAGAGTTTCGAAGATGGATATTACGTCAGAAAGGATGAGAAGATTACGGAAAATTACCGCTATTTTACCGAGCCATTATTTTTTTCAAGATTTTATGAGAATTTATAATTTGTATGAAATATATAAAAATAATTTTACGTTTTCAAATTGTTTTAATGCATATATTACATATATGTTGAATGTTAGAATTAATAAACGTGAATTTGACGGTTATAGTAGTTGGTAATACTTGGTAGGAATGCAAACGTCGAACTGTGAGCAATATTAAAAAAAATATCTTTTTATCCTGCTCAGTGAAACACGCGCAGAAAGAAGGACATACACTAAGCAGGACAGAAATGTATAGAAATACATATTAGGAATAGGAATAAATATTCAGATTTCAACCTATTACAGGTACCAGTTACGCCGGTTTCTATATAATAAGTTAAAATCTTAATATTTGTTCTATTGTGCGCAGTTCTGAAGCCTATGAATTGTCTCTTCTACGTGTTTCGCCTTATTTGAAAATTGCCGCTTCTGTTATTATCGATATATCGACATATCGAGCGCCTGCGCTCTGTCACGGAACGAAAGGTGAACGACGATCAGCCGATCAGCGACGACGACGACGTCGTGTGTGTTTCTGTTAGTAGCGAAAATGATTAGTGACGAACAGGCGAATGACGAGATGCGTCGAGACGTTAGGTCATGTGGGGTCGCAAAAGTTGTTGGCAACGAGATCACCGACGACAAGGATGTCGATCACGCTAGGTGGGTCTCCGGCGATCGGTGTTCAATCAGTGACACGTGGCCTTATGCGACTCGCCATGGTGAAATGCGGAGGGCTCCGGATTGACGGAACGACCGGCAGATCCGTCGCTGCCGGTGGTGGGCCCTTTGTTTACATACCGCGCGACGGCTAGTCGCTGATTAGATTTCGGCTGCTTGGCCAATGCGCGTGACAGCAACTCGCGTTGCTGATAGCTCGCGTCGTCGTTGCCGGCCGCGCGCGAATCAGTTGCGACAAACTCTGCAATTCCGTCGTGTGATTATCGACGGCAAGGCATCGACGACAACAACGGAGATTCCTGATTATACGAATTCCTGGCGATTTATCGCGCGAGACACGTCGCTTGTCGCTTGCCTTTTGCTCGTCGGTTGTACAGAGATTCGCGATTTCTCATCGTCTCTTAATTTCTGTTGAAAGAATGTCGTTCAAGAGAAAAAGTTTTTGTATTCACGGTTGTTTTCGTGGTACGTAATAAACACTCGTATCGGGAGAGAAATATTAATTATGTTCACAGTAATTTGAACATTTAATTGTAATTTAAACAATTATTAATTAAATAGTAATTTAAACAATTGATTGTTCACAGTAATATTGTTTTTGCTGTTTTTTTTTTATGGTTTTTTATATAATAGGAAAATTCTGATTATTCTTTTAGATATTAAATGTTATAATAATTATTATTTTTGCATGTCGTCTGGTATTTTATACTTTTCAATTTTAATTTTTGTTAATATCAATTTATTATTATTTTCTGCAATACTCTCAGTCAAATTATGTTTTAGAATAGGTTTTGTAAAATTTTTGTTGATATCTACTAAGTCAGAAGAATGTTCCAATCTTTTTATCTTACTAGAATTTGCTTAATAAGATAGATGATTGCCTAAATAGATAACTCTGTCGAAAATAAGTTTTTCAACATAGCCTACAAATTTTATTAACAGAAAATCTACAAAAATATAGTAAAATTTGTTAACAGAACAGTGACGGCAGATT